TGCAGGCCTGTAGACATACGGTCTGGATCCCCCATGGCCACAGGCATCAGGCATGTGAATCCTAACTGTTGTAAAGGGCAAGAGCTCATAACTTAAGAAGCAGCTGCTCCCCTTGGTGCTGCTGGAGGCCTCTGGGGCCCAGGGCAGGCTGTTCTCACCGGGAAGCCAGACTCCAAGATCACCTCCACCGAGAGCAGAGTCCCGGGGACGTTAACAGTGTGCCTTGGGATCCTCAGGTCACCCTGGCACCAAATGATTCAAAATAACATGAGAAGGCTTTGCACAAAAAGGTTTTTCCTGGTTGAGTGACAGGATGTATGAGGATACTTAGAAGTGGTCCTGGAAAAGGCACACTATGAGAAAAGCTGCATGCATTTCATTTTTTACACTAAGATGAACTATTTTTCCATAGTTTTTGAAAAGTTTTATTAATAAAAAGATAACATATTTCATGTAGTTTATAGTTACAATTCTAATATAATGATACTTCCCCCTCCTTCCATGAAGTTTTTTTTTTAAGATTTATTTGTTTGAAAGACAGAGTTACAGAGAGGCAGAGGCACAGAGAGAGAGAGAAAGAGGTCTTCCACCTGCTGGTTCACTCCCCAGATGACTGCAATGGCTGGAGCTACGCTGACACGAAGCCAGGAGCCAGGAGCTTCCTCTGGGTCTCCCATGTGGGTGCAGGGGCCCAAGGACTGGGGCCATCTTCTGCTGCTTTCCCAGGCCATAGCAGAGAGCTGGATTGGAAGTGGAACAGCTAGGATTCGAACTGGTACCCATATGGGATGCCGGCACTGCAGGTGGTGGCTTTACCCACTACACCACAGTGCTGGCCCCTCCGTGAACTTTTTAAAACTCTTATTTGCCTTCTTTCTGAGAGGCAGAGAGAGAGAGAATGAGAGAGGTTGAGTGTTCCCATCCACGGGATCTTTCCCCCATGTCTGTATCCTTCAGGGCTGAAGCAGGGAGCCAGGAATTCAACCCAGGTCTCCCACGTAGGGAGTAGAAACCCAACTACTGGAGCCATCACCTGCTGCCTCCCAGGGTACACATTAGAAGGAAGCTAGATTCGGGAGCCAGAGCTGGCTGTCAAACCCGACACTCTAACATCAGACGTGGGCATTTTAACCTAGCTAGGCCAAATGGCCACCCTTCCCAGAGTTTTTTGAATTACCCTTGTATCTGCTGAGCCTTTTGGACAGTTTTGTTGCATCTTTTGGCTGGCTGCCTGATCCCTAAGAGGTTGCCTCATCTACCTGGGAACAGATGCTTTAGAATGTAGGTTTCCAGCTTAGGAGAGTAAGTATAAATTTGTGCATATGAAAATGTCAAAAAGTAAACCAAATGTATCAGAAGCGGCTTGTTTTCCACATGCACAGGGCTAGACCTCTGCCACACATAGAGAGCTCTGTGGACTCCCGTCTGACCATACCCGTCACAAGCATCCTGCCGTACTGGAGGATGCACCTGCCAAGGCCCCCAGAATTGGGTCCCCTTCTTATCCTTCATGTCCTCTTTGAACTCGGATATTGGTTCTTAATCCTACTTCTCAGGTCCCAGGTCATTTTGTGGGGTAGCAGAGCCTCCCCCACCCCCTGCCACACACAGAGAGCTATAGAATCCTTGTTACTGTATTCTTTTCAAATCATAGCCTTCCTCTTCTTCTCATACACACATCCAGTGCATGGGAAAATGTCTAACAAGGCGAGGGCCTGTGAGAGCTGTACACTGAACAGGAGCTCCCTTGCCGCCAGTGGAAAACAACTTGTTCTTGGAGCTAGATTTGAGACAATGTCTTTAGAAACTCATTTCCACTCCCCCAGGCTTTATCTCCTCATCTATGATACGAGGTTAATAGTTCTGATTGCTCAGGGTAGTTGTGAGAATCAAATGAGCATATATTTTTTTAAAAAGTGCTTGCTGAGCTCCCGAACGTGTAAGGGCATTGTTATTAATCCCTGTAGGTTCTGATGAAATCTTGCCTCCTGAGTTGCCTTCCTTGTCCTTGTTGGTGACACCAACTTGTTTCCTGTCCCAGCCTCCTGTAGTGTTTGTTGTCTGCACTTATTTCTTTGGTTGCTGGAGCCGTTTCAAGTTGTTGAGCCCCTGCCTAGATTGCACACTCATGGGGAACAAGGAGTGTGCACGCTACTCACTGTCTCGAGCGCGGGAACCACTTCTGGGACAGGTGCAGCTTTCTGCTGTGCCCTCTGCGTAGCCAACCTGGTGGGAGCCGGAGGACCACCACCAAAGACAGGAGGGGAAACAAAGGAAAACCATCGAAATTTAGAATCAGAAACACATTTCTGAGCCTTTTCCAGTAATTCTGAAAATTTAGGATTTAAGCACTTGTTTCAGAGAAAACAAGGAGTTCTACTAGCATGTAGATTTTAGAATTCTCACTAAAAGTATTGATGTGTTGTAGTTAATTCTAGGACCCATCTAGGGAGAGAAAAGAAAGGACAAGTATTTTAGGAAATGAGACAACTCATTGGCCTCGGAAGATTCAGCGGTGTGACACGAGGAACGGGTCAGGGGCTGCCTGCCTGATGCACACCCCTGTGCCCAGTCTGGGTCAAGCCTGGGTGTGGTCAGAGCTCCAGTTAGGCAGAGGAGGAGCCATGGATATCTGGTGTGACGTCACCTTTGGCAGAGCACTTTCTAATACTCCCAGCCTTCCCTTTCATCTCATCTGACCCTGATAAGTAAGATCTGAGGTTCCCCATTGCACAGGTGAGGCCATCAGGGCCTAGAGAATGTGTTTTCCTGTCCAAAACCAGAGATGCACCAGTGTCCAATCATTGAGACGCCGCCACTGCTCCCTTCCAGTCGCCTGCACTGTTTGTGACTAAGTAATCGTGGAGGGGAAGTGGTGTGCACCCCCAGCAGAGGGGCTGGGGGCAGGTGTGTGTGTGGGTGGGGGTGGGGTTCTTGTCCTCATACCTGGTGTTCATGATTCCTGTTCCTCCCTGTTGATAATTAGGTGATGGCAATGTTACCGATTGCTGCCTGTTCCTCCCAGCGTCCACATCACACAGATAGCTCTGGACTGTGTCAAGGTTAACTAGATAACCTAATTAAGGCTGTGTTAGTCCCAGGGTGCTACTGCTGAAAACAAGGTAGCTAAAATGGAGCTCGCAACTTTTAAACCAAGAGTCTGCCCCAAACCCTCAGTCTTTCTTTTTTTCTAACTGTTAGGATGTTGCTGTTTCTTTATCATTTTCCAAAGCTTCAGTCCCCTTACAGTAAGCAATGAAAAGACTGGTGGCCTAGGAAGAGAAGGGTTCTAGCTCTGCTACTAGTGGTAGCTGGATTGCTCTAGGAAAGTAGTTTAACCTGGGTGGTACTCAGTCACTACCCACCTCACATGGGTATAAGGATGGACTTAACAGGGAGCACCTGTGTGTCGTGGGACTGCTGCATATTGGCTGCTAATTGACTGTGAGCTCTCCGGGGGTTGATGGCTTTGTGACCTTGGGCAAATGACTTAGTCTGGCTGGGCCTCCATCTTCGCATCTGTAAATTGTGCCAGCAGCACCTGCCATGGTGTGTGGTGAAGAGGCCTGTGACGAGATTATAGAGACGGGCACCAATGCAGGCACGTGGCTGAAGGGACTCAGCAGCGCTCAGCTCTCATGCGCCATGGCCAGACAGAGCTACACGAGGCACAGACCTACCTGGGTCTTCTTCCCTGCCCCCTTGGCCCTTCCCTCTAAGGGAAGGGGTGGCAAAGGGAAGGTTCGTGCAGGGGGATGTTGCCATTGAGGCCACAGCCTGTGGCTCCTCTAGATGCCCCTAGTGACCGCTTATGTGTTGATGGCACTTTTGTTGGTGCTGGAGAATGGAGTCCAGCAGCTTTTAAAATCTGGTTCTCTTGAACCAAGGTGTGCCATGTCCCCGTCGCACTTGAGGGACCCCACACACCTGCCCCTACGTCTCCCACGGAGGTTGGGACTCCAGTGCAAATGGAAGGGACTAGGAGAGAAGCTCCCACTACAGATCTGCCTGGAAAAGCTGCCCCTCTGAGGGCAGGGCCCGGGAGGGTAGGGGTACACGTGACATGGGAGCCCCGGGAACGGGGAAGCAGGAGTGAAAGGACCGAAAAAAGGGAGACAAGACAAGGAGAGTGAGGACCCTCCTTTCCCCAGTTCCGCTGAAGGCTCTCCCTGGCCCTGCTGACGCCCGAGTATGCACCCTGGACCCGCCCAGGGAGCTGCACCTCTGTCTTCGTGAAGTCAAAGCAGAGCTTCTACCCCAAACCACGAAGGGTTTGAGAGGTGTCGCCACATTCTGTGACTCCCAGAATACTGACTTCTGTCCGGAGAGCAGGCTGCAAAATAAATGGGCACGAAGTGGGAAGACAGGGCAGAGGGAGGGAGGCAGGTGCAGGATGTGTCCTCTCTCCCTCCCTGCAGCTGCTGAGTGGGAGACGGGCTGCGGCTCCGTGTTGCACAGCATCTGTGCCCACTCCCTGGTGTCACTGAGGGGTGGAGCTGTTCCCCCTGGGGCGCTCTCCATGTCCACTGTGGAGACTCTCCCTGGGGCAAGAAGGATGTAAGACCCAGCACTGGGCCTGGCTCTTTCTGAGTGTCTCTTCCCCAGAGAGGGAGCGCCGCGAGGCAGTACCACAGGGCCTTCGACACAGCCCTGTTGGGTTCCTCAGCCTTCCCTGCCCACCCTCGGACACTCACCCTGTCCCCGGGTAATCCAGGACCAGGCTGAGGCCTTGCCAGTCAGCCTAACCAGCATGACTCTGCTGAGCACCCCTCACGGGAGGCCCCAGGCTGGCGCCCGTGGGAGCAGGCGAGGCGGTGGGCGGTTGGGAAGACGCTGCACAGGTGGAGGCAGCACTGACGGTTGTGCGGCCGCTTGCGCGGGGCTCCCAGCGCAATTCCAGGAGAGGGTCTGGCTGCACTGTGGGCGGGGGCTACCTGGACCAGGGGGGTGCTAATATGACAGTGACCTCTGAGAGAATGACTGCCTTGCTCCCTGTTTAGGAGTAGCTCGGAGAGGAGGAAGGAGAAGTCCCGCGATGCGGCGAGGTGCCGGCGGAGCAAGGAGACGGAGGTGTTCTACGAGCTGGCCCACGAGCTGCCCCTGCCGCACAGCGTCAGCTCCCACCTGGACAAGGCCTCCATCATGCGGCTGGCCATCAGCTTCCTGCGGACACACAAGCTCCTCAGCTCAGGTGAGGCCTCCCTGGCAGGTTGCGACTCGGGGCCCCTGTTGTACCAGAGGCAGAGGTCTTCCTGCCCGTCCAGCCCGCTCTGCAAAACCTGTACCCACAGGGATGCCCCTAGTGGTCAGTGGTCCCTTCATGTCCAGCATCTCCCGTCCAGCAGGGGCCTCTGCCGGTGACCCCCAGCCATGGGATGAGCGAAGGCCAGGATGGAGCGAGAACAGCTTCTGCTGGTTTCCCAGTTCCATTGCCCCCAATTGGGAGACCCCCTGGGCCAAGTAGCCTGAATCGGGGGCAGCATTTTAGTCTTGTCTCCCAGCTCCTTCTGCAGCGTGGCAGAGAAAGGGCTCCCTCTTACCAGCTAGTGAGGCCACTTGGGCTCCAAGTGTGGGTTTCTCCAGCCGTAATGTGGGGTTAATGACGCTGCACAGGGTGTCCGTGTGGCTGGACTGGGACATGGCCCCCCTGCACTCATGTGTAAAGCATCGTCCCCCACCCCTCCCGCCAGAGCACAGATGAGTTCTCACCCTCCCTGGGATCTGCAGCCTACAGGTTCACAAAACACTGTTTGTTTTCCTAAGAGAGTGAGCATTCTTCAACAAACCATTTCCTGTTAGTTCTGACCCCAGAGAGGTGGCCCGAGAAGTCTCCCAGTGACAAATCTCATTGAGTTCCTCAGTCCTGTGGTGCCCCACCCCATCCCAGGTGGGCAGTGTCCACAGGGGTGAGAGAGCAGGAGGCTCTGTGGCCCGCGTTCAGTTTTCCTGAGTGCGCATGGCACTTGCAGAAGGGCCCACTCTGCCATCCTGTGCCGCGGCGGCTGTTCTGGGAGCCCGGCCCTGGGCGGGGGGACTCCAGGCCAGTGTGTGCTATTCCAGGCTCTGCAGCACAGGAAGGATATGGGAGGAACGCTCCGAGCAAAGCAGACAACAGCTCTGTGGGCCCAGGGGTTACAGGGTGGGCTGTATTGCAGACCGATGGAGGCCAGGTGTGCAGTCTCTGAAAAGCAGGCACTCTATAAATACTTCCAAGGATGCAGGGCACCGCAGGGTCATGGTCACAGGTGCCCCAGAAAGGGGGAACAGCCGGCTGGCAGCCTCTTGGGCAAGGCTGGGGCTGCTGCCCCGTAGAAGGAGGGCTGCGAAACTCTTAGAGTGCTCGGTCCCTCCTTCTTTTGAAGGGGCTGGTCTTCCTGGAGACGCCGTGTGGGAATGCTGGGGTCGTCTTTACGGAGTAGGCAGTAGGGGATCTAATGACTAGGTTGACACCCAGGACCAGGTCCTGTGCTTCCCTCCTATGGGACTTGGAAGTCTGCTCTTAGATATTAAATCCTTTGGGTTAACCATTGCCTCTGTCACCAGCACTCCCATTCCTTAGTGAGCAGAAGGCCCTCGAAGGCATGCCTGCTAATCCTGGGGTCTGGGGTGTCTTTCCGACTGCCTTGGCTCATGTAGGGCACTCATCCTTGTTTCACAGATCAGCTCAGGTTGTTCAGAGTCATACATGGAACATGTGGTCCGTCTGCACCTAGAGTTCAAGTCCTCTTGAATCCACGTGCATGAGATGGACAGAGAATGGCAGGAGCCGTCAGAAGGCCTGGACAGAGGAGAACATTGATCAAGGCAGGGAAGGCAAATGGAGGCCGCTGGGGCTGGCCCCAAGGTCCTCGCCTGCTCGGAGGGCTGTGTCTATACTTCCTGTGGCTGCTGCAGCACCCGCGGGCCCTGCCCAGCCCCACACGAGCCTGCTCTTCCTTCTCAGTGGCCCCGGGGAGGGAGGCTGAGCCCTCCGGGCACACGTGCGGCTCAGTGGGCCTCCGTGTGCCAGATAGCCCCGTGGAGTGGGCTCACGGTGGGCTGTCACAGGTCCTGGCTCAGGAGCTGCTGAAAGTGATAGACACGAACCGCCTGTCCCGCGGTCATGCTTGGCCACGGGCTGCCCAGAGCCCTCAGCATGGCAGCTCTGGGCTTCTCTGTCCCAAGGAAAGAAGGGGCGGAAAAGGACACAAAGTTCTGCTTCTGGCCATCTGGCCCCGGTGTCCTTGACGGACAAGCTGTCAGGAGATGAGCACAGCGGAGGGGAAGTGGCGGTGGCAGCTCAAGAGCCCCCTTCCTCCGCCTTCTCTCCCAGGCTCCTGCCGCCCGCTCTCCAGACTGGCTGTTGAAATGAATTTTCAGAAACTACGTGAGACAGGCTCTTTGCGGGGGGTGGGGGGGAAGCAAACACCCCGTAGTTTGTTCTGTGTGGTGCGGGCAGCATGATGGATACAAGTGCAGGGTGGTGGGCAGATGGAGCAGCCTTCGGGTCTCAGTGTGGCTGCTCTGCAACCTTGTACAAATCTCTCTTGCTGGTTGAGCCGAAGTCTCCTCATCAGCACCCAGGGGACTGCCAGTGCTTGGCCTGCAGGGCTGTGTGAGGGCTGAGGCTATGGGAGACCAGGGAGGCCTGCACCTGCACTGAGCAAGGGAGCGCTTAGAAACAAAAACAACGTCAACAGGCCTACTGACTTCTTGAAGTCACTGTCCGAGAAAACCCAGAGGCCACGCTCCCCGTCCGCAGTCTCTGTCAGAATGCAAAGCTGCCCTCGGCTTTCCCAAGCCCAGCAGCCCCAGTGTCCTGACTTAAGCCTTGCCAACAGAGGTGAGTGCCAGCCTCGGCGCACTGTGCAATAGGAAATGGCCGGTTGCATACCTCAGCGTTCAAAAGGCTAACAAATACCAGGTTTTGCCTCAGCAAAGCTGCTGCTTTACTTAGTAACACGCTGCCCTTTGATTCTCACAGTAGGCCACTCCGTGTGGGAATGTTGGAGAGGAAGCCTCAGCACTAAGAAAGCCGGGCTGTGGGTCTGGGCGGCCGAGTGAGATCCGTATCGCAGGAAGCAGAGCCAAACAATAGCCCTGTGATACTAGCGTCCCGGCTGGGCCTGGCCCAGGGCTCGCTCTGACGGGAACCTCAGTGGGAACCCCACTTGACGGTCCTCTTGCCGGGGCAGCCAGCAAGGGCCCCAAGTGCAGAATCTGCTCCTTGCACAGTGCCCAGGGCAAAGTGGGCGTCCCGGCGCTCAGACACGGTGAAATGGGATTTGTCCAAGAGAGCGCCGGAGACCAACACCCAGCGAGGTTTCTGAAGAGAAATGTCAGGTTTATTTTGGAGTCGCTGGCATTTGCCTGGGGAGAACATCAGCGTTAACAGCAGAGATTATGAGTTCCCGATCGCTAGACCAGCAAGGGAGAGACATGAAAACGTGGGGCGAGCCGTGGTGAAGTGCTTGCTGTGACCTTGCCGGGCAGCAAAGGCGGGGCACGGAGAGGGAGGCGGCCGGGGCACGTGTGGTTTCTGGCGCCCTCTTAGGGCCCCTGCTTCCAGATTCTTCTCCTGGGGTTTCACACACACACACCCCTGTTTGTCCCAGCCCCTCCCCCAACCCCCTCCTAACCAAGGCCTTTCTCTCCTATTTGGAAAGAGGCCAACAAGCTGATTGATGCGAGGCCATCAGGGGCAGCGAGCAGCTGCTGCCTTGGAGGTGCTGACCCTTGGTCAGGTTGTTCCCTTCATTAAACCAGAAGACTGGACATTGACAGGGTTTCCCTGGCCCAGCCCTGTGCCGGGACCTAGGCACAGGGAGAGGGGCTAGGATCAGAGATTGCACAGTGATCTCGGAAAGGGGACCTGCAGGGCTTCCTGGGAGCCCAGCTAACTCAGATGGGGTCCAGCTCCTTCTGCAGAAAGTGGGAGCATGGCCCAAGCCTGCTGATGGTGGGACTTAAAGGGATGGTGTTGAGAACGATAGCGAAGCAGTGTCCGCCTGACACAGCTGAGCCAGGAAGGCTTTGAGCAGAGCCGGAGCAGCCCTGAACTTCGCAGAGTAGGAAAGAGAGAGGACAAAGGTCCATGCTGGGATGAACTGGGAGGCAGCCACCTGGTCTCAGGGACCCAGTCGGGAGGCGTCTGCCCTGCCTGCCTGCTCACCCCAGATGCCCAGCTCCTGTGCCCATGCCCTCCCGCCCCACATGGGTGGTGCTGCCTAAAGGAAATGAGCGATACTCCGGAAAAAGTGCTCCGAAGCCTCGGCCGGCGCATATCCTGGACGTGGAAAGTCATCAAAGGCTGTTTACCAGGCCTATTTTGAGCATTGAAGAATCCTGGACTCTCCACGTGGGGCGTATTCCGTCTTAGCAGAGTGCTGCTGGCCACTGGTTCACATAAAGCGAGCCTTGGACACCTAGACCCTGGGGCAGCTTAGTGACCCCATCAGCAGCCGGCCGAGGCCCCACTGTGGGCTCCTCACTGTAGTCTGCACTCAGGGTTTGTTTCTTTTTCTTTTATTTATTTATTTTTTTGACAGGCAGAGTTAGACACAGAGAGAGAGAGAGAGACAGAGAAAGATCTTCCTTTTCCATTGATTCACCCCCCAAATGGCTGCTACGGCCAGCATGCTGCACCGATCCAAAGCCAGGAGCCAGGTGCTTCCTCCTGGTCTCCCATGGGGGTGCAGGGCCCAAGGACTTGGGCCATCCTCCACTGCCTTCCTGGGCCACAGCAGAGAGCTGGACTGGAAGAGGAGCAACAAGGACAGATTCTGGCGCCCTGACTGGGACTAGAACCCGGGGTGCCGGCGCCACAGGCAGAAGATTAGCCTAGTGAGTCGTGGTGCTGGACAGAAAATATTTTAAAGCACTTGGGTCATCCTCCACTGCTTTCCCAGGCACATGAGCAGGGAGCTGAATCAGAAGTGGAGTAGCTGGGACTCGAACTGGCTCCCATCTGGGATGCTGGCGCTGCAGGCAGCAGCTTTACCCACTATGCCATAGCGCTGGCCCTGGGGTTTAACTCTTGATTATTATGCAACCTTCCAGCAGTCTTTGTCACCCCCCACCCCCCACCACCACCACTATCACCACAGGGACTGGTTGTTTTGTGCCTAGCCTAGGGCACACTATCACCACAGGGACTGGTTGTTTTGTGCCTAGCCCAGGGCGCACACACAGTAGAAGCTGGATAACTATGGAAAGGGTACGTGCATTTTCCCGTATACCTAAGGCTAGTCCAATGTGAATGGCACATTAGAAATGTGTCGGGAGGTGATGGGAGCCCCTTGGTGAGGCCCTGCCTCCTGGCTGTGCAGCATTCACCCTGATTGCCAAGCCAGGATCCCAGGAGCTCCCTGGAGGATAAGCAGATGCTGTGGGAGCAAGTAGTGCTGCTGTCTCGTGGTCCCTGGGGCTGGCCGCTGGCTTCCTGGTCCTGCAGCCTCTGCGACTTCCCTTCCATGGCACTCGGTTTCCCTGCTAGACCTCTCCCTCCCTCTCAGAAGTGGGCTGACGGGCTGGTAGAGCAGATTTCGCCACCTCCTGGAAGCAAGTGTGCTAGGCACAGGTGGACACCAGTTTGGTTGTACTGGAACTGTTAAAAACAGGAAGTGTTCAGCAAAACTATTTCCCCTGGGCCCAGTTAGCCCAAATAGGATTGTTTTTGGACTACTCCAGATTTTGAAGTCAATGTTACCACTGAGATCAAAGAAATAGAAAATTGCCCCTCGATAGACCAGAAACCACAGGACTGCCTCTGCTCATCTAGACAAGGTGGTCACCGATGGCGTGTGATGTTTAAATGGCGCCCACAACTCTTCCTCCCCACTCCCCAGTAAGTCTGCAGTAGACTAATTTCGCCAACGTCAGGGTCACTTGTGGGAGTCTGAGTTAAGGCAGGGCGTCTCAGCATGTGCTCCTGGGAGCAACAGCATCTACGTCAAGTGCAAGCGTCTCAGAAGGCAGATGCCTTGGGCCACCTGGGTCCCCCAGAATGGGACACTCTCGGGGGAGGGCCCTTCCACAGCCTGGCTTCCTGGGGTGTAGCCTGGGCAGTCTCAGCCGTGTCCACACTCAGAAGGCCTCAGGTTTGGTGTGATCTTTCCGTAAGTGGTCCTGAATTTTTCCTTTGCTCTCGGCCCTGCAAATCGTGCCACCCTGCTGGGCCCAGCAGTCTTGGGGTTAGCCAGTCCTCCGGGTGATTCAGAAGGCTCTGGGCTGAGTCACTGTCTCTTCTACAGCCACTGTAGGACATTGACATTGGCAGCTGCATCACCCACACCTGAACTGGCATTTCTCCGTGAGTCCGGCTGACTAGTTAGCTGAGACAGACCCTCTCAGGGGTCAGCTGCAGGTGCGGTGTAAGGCAGTTCCCATAGGGTCCTCCCCTGCATAGGGCTGACTGCCCTGGCCAGGGCATGAAGAGCAAAGACTTTCCCTCAATTGGTTGCGCCATGTCACATTAGCAAAACAGAGTGGCCACGGCGATACAGCTCTGTGCTTTGAGGGCCTGTGCAGAAAGATCCGCAGCTGTGACCCCAGTCCGTACTCTGATGCCTGGTCCCCAGCGGTGCCATCAAAACCCCTTGGTAGGAACATCTCCTAACCTGGGTTTTTTTTTCTTCATCGGGAGTAATGGCAGATAGCCTAGAGCTTCAAGTTAGAGCTTGAGGAAAAGGAGAATGAAATAAACCAGCGCCCCTGCAAAAAGGCTCCTGCACCTCACTGCCCAGTGTCCATGCACCCTGGCCGAGTGGCCCGTACAGCTGGCTGCGTTTTACTCTCCCTAGACTCCCTTTAGTTAAAGTGTGTGCTGGCTTTTACAAAGGACACCTCACTTCCTGATCTCTTGTGCTGCAAATCAAGCAGGGTATACTGCTACTGAGGTTTAAACCCCAGAGAGCCAAATATAAATATTTATAAGTAAGGGTGTGTTTGGAGTCAAGTAATGGAGGAGGAGGATACAAGTGGGGCTGAAATGCATCCTGTTGTCTCGGGATAAAAACCCAGAGCCTGGGCCCCCGAGGCGTTTCTGGCTGGTGAGCAGTGTCTGCGTTCTGCAAATGGCAGAGGTGTACTTGAGGGGCCTGGGCTCTCAGAGTGTGGGTGGTTTGGGTGGTGGTTTGCCCATACCGCCCCTGTCCAGTCTGCCCGGTGCAGTGGCCGCCTCTGTTTTGACCGTCCTGCGTGCCATCGCCAGATTGCCGGGCTTTCGTCTGCCTGCTATGCCCTTGCTCCTTTGCCTGGGGGCTGAGCCCCTGCAGGCCACTGGGCTGGGAATTAGGATCTCCTCCCTCGGGCCCCATGTGCTGTCAAGGGCCGGCTCAGCCCTGTCAGGGCTGGAGAGCCCTTCTCCTTTCACTGCCACAGAGATGTCGTCTTCCATGAGCCGTCTCACATCCCCAGCTTCAGAACGGCTGTTTCTGGTCACGTGGAGGCGACCCCACTCCTCTGACCCCGAAAGCACTTGCCATCTGCCTCCCACCCTGGGCACCCAGCTGTGATGCCCTGGGGTTTTTATTTCGCTCTCCATCTCGGGGGCCTGCATGGTCCCTGCCTGGGCTGTGAACCTAGTGAGGGCAGAGGGAGAGACAATTGGCAGTCGCTGGTGCCGTCTACAGCACTTCATGTTGTTATTTAATCCCCACAATCCCAAGAGATAGGAATGGCCATTTCCTTTAGCTAATGAGGAAACCGACATGCAAAGAGGAAGTTCCTTAGCCAAGGTCCCAGCCTGATAGGAGGCTGCTCTAGGAGAGTCTGTGTTTGACTCCAGTGCCTGTTAGAGGCTGAGCGTGGCTTCTGGATTCAGTGTCAGGGCTTGCCAGCTCTCCAGCCTTTCCATCCAGGGCCAAAGCCTGCCCTGTAGAATGTAAGAATCAGACCTGTCTCGTAGGTCTGTGAAGGCAATGAAGCATGCTTAGTGAGTGGTGTTGCTAGGTGTACAGCAGCAGCTAAGATCTTCCTGCCACAGTGACACTGCCAAGCCCCTGTAAGGTACCCTCATTCAGGGCCTGGGGTTTGGCCACGTAGTGGGCACTGTATTTCCAGCGAAGTCCACGCAGTGCCCTTGACCCTTCCCTGCCAGGTGCCTGTCCATGCCAGTCACGTCTGTGTTAACACCACATTCACGCAGGCCGTCCACCCCCTCTCTCTCCAGTGTGCTCGGAAAATGAGTCTGAAGCCGAGGCTGACCAGCAGATGGATAACTTGTACCTGAAAGCCTTGGAGGGCTTCATTGCCGTGGTGACCCAGGACGGCGACATGATCTTCCTGTCGGAAAACATCAGCAAGTTCATGGGACTCACGCAGGTGACAGCCTCCTCCATGTATTTCACAATGGGAAGGTGTTTCCGTGGCGGGAGGAGTGGCTAGGAATTTGTGGCAGATGCTGGTCACAATCCCCTCGCACCCGCCCACCAGGACCCTCACTAACTCCAGGCCACAAGCCTCGGCACCACACTGCCCGCTCACTGGTACCGGGTTTGGCGTTGCCCATGGCAGTGGTACCCGGTTGCCGCTGGACAGTGCTCCAGCTGGATCTATAAGCCACCACCGTGAATCATGTCCCTGCCTCGTCTGTCGTCCCTCTGGGTATCTCTGGATCTGTGAGCAGACCTGATGCATCCTCCCTGGCTCCGGATCTGGAGTCTCTTGCTGCGGCATCAGCAGTGACAAAGCCTAACTTTGTTTCCAAAACAGGTGGAGCTGACAGGGCACAGCATCTTTGACTTCACCCACCCCTGTGACCACGAGGAGATCCGAGAGAACCTGACTCTCAAAAGTGGTAAAGTCCTGCGTGTCTCCTTCCTTCTTGCCCCATCTGCAGGGGAACACTGCTTTCCCTTTGCTTGCAAGTGTAGGCAAGACAGCTGATGGCCATTATGACACCCGGGAATCTGACATTGCTGACACTGGAGCTGTAGGTTCACCCTTGCTGTAGGTGTGCAGTCTATGAGATGACACCGCAGGTGCCGAGAGGGTCCCATGCACAGAAACAGCTCCTGCAGGCTGCGTGGAGGCCTGGGGTCTCACTCCAGGGCCTGCCTTTGGGCTAGGATGCCATCTCCAGGAGGGTGCATCAGCTAGGAGCCAGGCATCTCTGCCCAGACCAGTAAACTCGCCTATGCTCAGGCAGCTGTCAAAGCTGTTGGTTCCTGTAGAACAAACCACTAAACATGTAAGGTCAAAACCAGCAGTGTCCTCCCATTCAGGTTTCTGTGTGTTCTGAGGACAGATCTTTGGCTCTATGTGATGTCAGCTGGCCTGCAGTCCTCTGGGGGCTGGACCAGACTGGATCGGCAGCCTGTGGCAAGTGGCTGGATCCCGGGATCTGCTCTGGGGCTGGGCCAGCCATGTGGCTCCTTCACTGCGTGGAAGCTCAGAGCCTCTGCCCCTGCACACACTGTCCTCAGGGTGGCCAGACTTCCTGTGCAGCAGCTCGGGCTCCCCAGAGTGGACACTGCCAGGCCTTCCCAAGACTCAGTCCCGACACTGGCATAGCATCACTTCTACCCCATTTGTTAGTTAAAGCAAGTTACAGGGCAACCCTGACTCAGCATGGGAGGGTACCACGAAAGGCAGTGGCATGCTTGGGACCAGCTATAGAGAACAGCTGCTGTGGGGGCCCTGGGCTGAGGCTGCTGCTCTGGGGATGAGGCCTAGGACAAGCAGGTGAGATGGAGAAGGGATTTGAAGGGTCTGGCAGGCTAGCTCCTACCTGGGGGAGGGTCTCACAGCTGCCAGTAGATGAGAGGGTCCGCCCTGAGCAGAAAGCACTTTGCAGTCACAGTGGGGCTCCACAGCTTGTCACTGGGCACATTCAAGTCAAGACACAGCTGGAGATGTTACCGAGAGACTGGCGTGGGGCCCGGTGGTTCCCAGAGTCCCCTTTGGACCTGAGGGTCTGTCACTGGCCACACCTGGACTTCCTCTGTCGGTGACTGTCATCTGTCCCTGCTGTGGCGTGTGTGCCTGCCCAGCCTAGAGAGCACAGAAGGGCTAGCTGTGGATTACCACACTTGCTGCAAAAGCAGACATGTCAGTGGCTCACCACCTCCCGTGTCGCACAGTGAACCTGCAGGCCATGTCTGTACCTGCGAGGTGCAGTATTACAGCAGCCTCACCTTCCACCACCAGAAACAGCCTCCCAACCAGGCCCTCTGCTCCCCCAGCTCAGGGGCCTGGACCCACTTGGCTCCCAGGGCCCCCCAGGCCAGAGAGCAACCCCGTGAGCTGTTTAATATCCTGAAAGTGTATACTGTTCAGAGTGTTTGTTTCTGTGGGCGAGGGGCTGCCAGACTTTCTGGATCACTTCCTCAACAGGTGCTTAAAACATGAGAAAACCAAAGCTCTGATTTCTTGTGTCCAGAAACCTGTTAGCCTGGGGGTCTCGGTCTCAGTGCAGCCGCTGACCACAGACACAGCTCGACTTTGAGGCCTGCACAAAGCACCTCACTTCTCTGGTGGAAACTGACGGTATCGGAGTAGGCGAGGGCTAGGACCCTCCAGCACCCCAGCGCCGTGATTCACAGCCCAGTGAGCTCTGTGTATCTGAGGAGAACTTTAGATCTGTCGGTCCCTCTGTCAGGGCACTCAGGCGCGGTGAGTCAGCAGCTCGTCTCCGAGGGTGCCGGCCTGAAGGTGGACTCGGGACCTGGAGGCAAAGGGTCACTGTGGTTTCCTGCGGGCAGATAAGGCAACAAGGCGGACCGTGGAAGGCTTTGAAGGCCAGGCAGAGGGCCTTGAGCTTTAGCCTGTAGACCGCGGGGAGCTAATGGGAGTATCTGAGCAGGGCTGGGGAGATGTGGGAGTTACATTTAGAAAGAATACGCTGATGTCAGAATCGGGAGAAGCTGGAGGTTAACAAGTTAGGAGACCATACCAGTACCCCAAGCCAGCAGCCACAGACAACTCCCTAACCCCTGGGCTGTTCCCGGTGATAGGACTCGGCCCCAAGATAGGAGGTACAGAGCACCATATGCAGGCACTACCTGTGAATATTAGAGTGGAGAGAAACCTAAGTAAGGAGGGGAGACATGATTTTACCATTTTCTCTCTTTACAAAGAGGTTTTCTCTCTTTGCAAAACAAAATGTTAACCTTTCAGGCTGTTACTTAGTGGGCTCCCTTAAAGGTGTGTAAGTGTGTTTCTAGGGGGCCGCAGTGCTTTTGACGCACAACTCTGTGGGAATTTGTCAATCAAACAGTCAAGGCCTTCTGGAAGTGTAGGTGGGGAAGCTGATGGCTTTGCCTGGAGGGAGGAATGTGACTGAAGCAAGAGTCTGGATTGTTCTGTGATGCTTGGCGGGGGCCAGGGATGATGGTATAGGCAGGACTTGGACATGAACGAGAGACTCGGCTGGCACTGCACTCACTGCGCTCACTGTGGTCTCACAGTTACTGTCCCTTGCAGTAGTTCTTGCAGCAGAACCCAGCCTGCCCCGGGAGAGATTTGCTGAGATTGCCGCTAATAGGGAATCGCTTCCTTGCTGCTGCCAAGTGGCCACTGACCATGACCTCGGTGCAGTGGGAACTCAAACGGCAGAGCAGCTCCCACCTCTCAGGAGTGCATGCGCCCTCCAGCTGAGAAGACAGGCTGGAGATGAGAAACCAGTGGTCCATAGGCCAAGGTGGCCCTCAGTGTTCCCGGCAGGCTGCAGGTGCTCAGAGCAGAAGTGTGGGGAATACAAGCAGAAAGTTGCCCAGAAAGCTGTAGCAGGGCCACTGTTGTGAATGTGAGTGTAGAACTAAGGCCACCTGGCTCCCTTCCCCATCCAGGCTCTGGTTTTGGGAAGAAAAGCAAAGACATGTCCACAGAGCGGGATTTCTTCATGAGGATGAAGTGCACGGTCACCAACAGGGGACGGACTGTCAACCTCAAGTCAGCCACCTGGAAGGTAGGACGGCGTCAGGCCAGGGAGGGGCCTAGAGCACCGTCTCAGCCCCAGTGCCCTTGGCCGCATGACTGACCCTCCGTTGCTGGTCCTCAGGTCTTGCACTGCACTGGCCAGGTGAAAGTCTACAACAACTGCCCTCCCCACAGCAGTCTCTGTGGCTACAAGGAGCCCCTGCTCTCCTGCCTCATCATCATGTGTGAACCAATCCAGCACCCGTCCCACATGGACATTCCCCTGGACAGCAAGACTTTCCTGAGCCGCCATAGCATGGACATGAAGTTCACCTACTGCGATGACAGGTGGGGTCCGGGTGTGTGCGGTGGGCAGGGACGGGGCGCCCTGCATGCGTGTGTGTGCTCGTGCCTGTGTTGAAGGGATGAGCCTGGGGCACAGATGTCATGGGGCCTGGGTCACTCTTTCATCGGAGCCCCCCAGGGGTCCCCAGCCCCATACTTGGTTGAAGTCTTCCACTGACACAGCTGCAGGGCCTGTGTGCAGTGCTGTTCTGGGGGTGGCTCTCCTGTCATCCTTGTCATGTGTGCAGATCTCTCCATGTGTGTATCAGGCTCCTAAGGCCATTTTCAGAGCCCTCTACTGCCCCAGGAGACAAAGGTCGGAGAGATTCCCACTTCTGATTCGGGGGCAGCAGGGGGCACTGGGTTCTGGCCAGGAGGCTTCCTGGCTTTCCTTATTCTCGTCCATGGCCGGCCGAGCTTTTCTCCCAGCCTGTGCGGCTCCTGTGTGCATCCCCATGCTGGCCCTTGTCCAGTCTAGTTTTGAAGGCTCTTGGATGATGGGAGCTAAGCCAAACTCTTACCCCTAATGCCAGACCCAACTGGAATTTCTTGAAGCCGCATAACAGTGGCAAGAGCATGGTCTCCGGGGCCGGTGGCCTAGGTTCAAACCCAGCGTTAAATGTTCCGTGTGGGCTCTGACCCGCATTTGTGCTTTGTTACAGTCGTTGGGAGAGGTCGTAGAGCTGTATGGATAAGGCCGGCTGAGGGCTGGCACAGGTTGGGAAAGAGGCCAAGGCTGTCACAGGAAGGGGTATTCCAACTGCACTGCAGCTCCTACCTCCTATCCCGCCCCTGCACTGAGCTGCCTCTGGGGTGGGAGGCAAGGGGGCACAGAGAGGAAGGGGAGGAGACTGATCAGGAGGTAGGCAGAGGAAGTGCTGAGCAGCAACCTGTTCGGGGGGGAGAAGGGGGAAGCCAGGAGAACAGACCGGGCCTGGGTAGACTGGGCATGCATGGGGTTAGATGCCACCAGCTTGCTGCCGAGTGCACCCCCCAGCCCTTCAGGGCTGAGAGCTGCAGGCTGAGCTCAGCTTTGCACAGCATCTGGAGTCACAGTTCCTGGGCAATTCTCTCTCACCCCGGACTCTTGCCACTGCTCGGTCATCTTCTAGGACTCAGACCTGAGAGTGCAGGGCCCCCATCTTGACCGTGGAGATGGGATACTGGCTGCGCCGGCACTTTGGGAAATGCAAACCCCGCATCACCCGTGAGCTTCTTGCTTTTGCTTCATCTTAGCCTCCCATCCTGGAGCTCCCCGCAAAGCCCAGTCCCCCACTAAACCCAGGGCCACGATCGCTTCTGGAGGCTTTCGGGGGGCTGGGCCTGGGAGAGGTAGGAGAGCCCACTAGCAAGGACCCACCTTGTCCGCCCACCCTGGCAGGGGACTCCTTGCAGCTCCCACAGGCTCATCTCCCTTTCCTCACCAGCGGACATCCCCTGGGCACCTGGTTCTTCGTGGGGTGCCGAGTGTCTTGCTGGTGACCTCTCCTCCCTTCTCCCAGGCCCCAGCCACTAAAATACCCTCAGCAGTGATCTTGGGTTTAGCAGGGATTCTTGGGGGAGGTCAAGGCAGGAGGTAAGAGAGAAGCAATGGCAAGAAGCCTCCTGGGAGTCTCCGTGTTTGTACCTTTCAACGTGCTTTCCGGGAGAGGCTCTGACTCCAGCCTGACCTGCTGCTGGCCGGCGGCATGAGCTACCACGTGTGGCACCATTCCAGAACTTTGCCCAGAGTAGCCACGAGTCATTCCCTCCTCCCAGTTCTGACCACAACAGGGCCAGGCCTCAAGGCTGGTGGAGGTAGCGGGTGGTTCTCTGCTCTGAGGTCAGAGGGAGGAAAAGGGCCCCCTCGTGCTGAACACCATGGTGGTGGTGGTAATGAGAGAGAAAGCACACTTCGGGGCAGGCACCAGAGGAAGCCGGTTATGCTTAATGTTATCCGATGAATGTCCTAGGCAAAAATATGCTTTTGTTCTATGCACCCTCTCAGTAGCCTTCTGAGGGAACCAGGGAAACCCCAGTGTGCAGCTGGCGTAGCACCAGCTCGGGGGTGAGGGGGTGCTCAGGCGACCGTAGCCACACAGCCTGGTCACAGCCTCGGTGCGGTGGGTGCGGGAAGCTGGACAGAGCACCAGGAGCCAAGCACAGTCGAGTGCAACTCCACAGGCCCTGGAAAGCCCCGCCATCCTGGAAAATAGCTGTCACCCTGGATAACAGATGGCGGGGGTGGGGTGCAGAAAACCCAGAGAATTCTGGGTTTCAGTGACTATGTCTTGATAAATGGAGGAGAAGCATCCCCCGGAAAGGGTGACACCGGGTTTTCAGTCCTTCACTATCTTGCACTGAGTGAATTTCAGGTGATTTTCTGAAAGCACTCAGATTTGGATAAAAGAAGAGGTGGGAAAACACAGAACTGGGGAACCTAAAAATGGCTGGAGAGGAAATGTACACAGAAATGGGAGAGACACCAGGCTCGGTTCTTGGCTGGGTTCAGGACTGGTAAGGAGGTGTAGGTAGGAGCTTAGAGGAACCTGTGACGCAGGGCTCTGTGACCCAGCGCTGGCACAGACGGCTTCTCTGCAGGGCACTTTGTACTCACAGCAGAGTCTTTGAAGAAACCTCATGCCATGGCCCCAGCCCTGACTCCGGGGCTGCTGGGGAGATGTAGTAGAGGCATTCAAAGACAGAGAATGCTGTGCCACACACAGGTCGTGTTGAACCGATTAGCAGATTAGTTGACAAGGGCACAGACATGGCTTAGACAGTTTATGAAGTGACTATTTTAAGTTCTTAATCCCTCGATGTTGTTTTTCAATTGCTATGATGAAGATTGAGATGGTTTTGGTTTTGGTGGCTTGTATTGGTTTCCTTCTCTATATTGACATGGGGAGCGTGTGTGTGTGTGTGTGTATGTGTGTGTGTGTCTGTGTCTGCACACAAGCATTTACACACACACACATTCTCTTCATACCCTTCTAAGATAACTGCTTTAAAAACCAACAGCTACGTGTGATAGCTCATGGGAGCCAGGGTTCTCCATGTTAATCAAGAATTCTCTGGGTTTAATGAATCCTGCCATACATCATGGGCTGTGGTTTCCCACAAAGGGGGCAGTTTTCCCATAAAGGACATGGAAATTAATCTGGGGAAGGCAATTAGAATCCACAGAATCAGTTCTGAGGCTGCTGGATACATCCCTCAGGTACACTGAGGCCGCAGACATTACCCGGCAAACCAAAAAGAGGTTCCGGTGGAAAAGCGAGATGGGGGGAAAGAAAGCAGAGAGAGGCGGAGACTCGGCTTCTGAGTCACAGATTCACAACATCTGCTGAACCCACAACAACATATTCGGAAGCACAGGAAATTGAGTGAAGGAGTACAGGAGATTCAAAATGCATCTGTCCTCCCTTTACTAAAAGGCAGAGGACCACGTTAAATCCTGTATTCATGATGCTCACATCATGTGGTAAATATCTTTAGAAGTCTGTAATGAGGTCTGTATCTGTCTCATTTATATATACAGGGTGACTGTTCCCTATCCAAAATGCTTGGGACCAGAAGTGTTTCAGATTTAAGTTCTTAACCTTTGGAATATTGGCATAGATGATACCAGTTAAGCATCCCTAATCAGAAAATACGAATTCTGAAATACTCCAAAATCCAAGACTTCTTCAGTGTCACATTGGCACGTTCCATATGTATATGTATACGTATATATGTATATGTGTATATATATATATATGATCAATGGCTCTGAAAGGGAACACAGTTGAATGAAAAGGTTAAAAAAAAAGAGTCCTCTGTATCGCTGTTATTGATGTGCCATCTTCATCGATGACTCAAGCCAAAAGTGTTACTGGTATCTTGGCATACAGAGAGTAACCAGGCAATCAACTGTAATTATTGAGCATCTAACCCAGTGCCAGAGACTGTCATATCAAAGAAGAAAAGATGATTCCTGATCTCTAGGAGTTTAAAGTTTGTGACACAAGCAACTTAATTAAACTACAGTGAATAATACAACACAGAACATTCCATTCACCCAAAAGGAAGACAGAAATTGGTCCCAAGTAGTTTAACTTCAAAGTGGGGTGGCTCTTAAATTCATGTAGAGGTGCCATCTGCTGGCAACTGAGAAAACCTGGAGCAGGACTCGGTCAAGGTTGTAACTCTCGGGGAATCCCACTGTGAACTTTGTTAGTTTCACAAGTCTTCCTGTATCTTAAAAGTAATAAAAATTACGTGGCCAGGAGCAGGATCACTGGAGGTGGGAAAGGTATCACAATTACAGTGGGAGTTTCTAAAAACAAACAGGTGCATGTAATCTTTACAATTAAGGAATTCCGAGGCAGTCCTGTTTCCTGACATCAGGAATCACAGTGTAACAGGGTGCCTGCATTTCAGATTCTATGGATAAAACTCATGATGAATTCCTTTTGTACAAAGAAGTTGGGAGAGCAAAGATAGCAAAAATGAGGGGAACATTGAGGATCATAAAGAGAACGCCAATAAAGAAAATCATGGAGAGCCCCCTGGATTGCGAAACACAATCACACACACACACACACACACACAGCTGGAAGGCATTTTGCAAATTGGTAGCAAGAGATTGTGTAGTTTCAGTGCATACTGAGATAGATTTAATAGATTCTCTTTATTCTTTTTAGGGATGGATGCCATCTTAAATTCAAGGCGATCTTTCAGATTAATATATTAGATATATTTAATTTCCTATATAGTCAGAATATTCTATTCTTGCAGATGTATATGTGTGCCTTTCTCTTCACATCTTAACTGAGTAGGGTGCTTTTCTTTAGATCCCCGAGTTAGGAAGAATTTTAGGTACCCTCCTTGTCCTTGGCTGCAGTGTCTGAATTCAGCACTCCCTGAGTTTGAGTCCATAAGACTTAGTGCTAACCTGTTGTCCTGCCTAATATAGAATGCTGAAGAACTCCGGGAGGAAGGAGGTTTACAGATTCTCTTTGGAGTTTGTTCCAAGCTTCAATAGGCCTCACCATTCCAACATTATTCCCTCTACATGATCTGCTTCTCTCTTGCAAAAATTCAAGACAAGTTCCCTCTTTCTGCTTGGAGGCGTCAGGGTGATAAAAGGCAGCCATGGCTTATGGTGGCGTTTGGAGCAGGCTCTGCTCAACATCCAGCCAGGGACACTTTGCTAGGTATAAAATCAGCCCATGGGTGCCCTGTAACATGCCACACGTCAGGATGTGAAATCGGCTTCCCATTGACTGCACAGCTGCGTGTGGGGGTTTCATATAGCTGTAATTCTTAGCTGTAATACTCAGAATTGAGGAAGACACCAGGCTTAACTGGATAAAAATAGATGATGGAGAGTCAAAAAGTTTGTGGAAAAGTGGAATTAAAAGATAATTTTAGTGCAAAAACTTTGGAAACCCATGCACAGTTTTATTTTTTAAACAGTATGCATTTTCCATCAACTTCTCATGTGCATGGATTTCAGAATTTTTTTTTTTTTGGCACCAAAATGCACTTACCACCTTTTAACTCCATTTCCATGAATGTTTTGAAGTGCCCTCATATTAAAATTAGCAGAAGACACTGAAGTCTGAGTTGGTGAAACATCTGTATATGATAAGGGCGTGCAGCACTATTGCTTACAAGCTTTGTCACATGGAAGCAAAATGAGGTGACGTGAGTGCTGTCTGGGAGAGGCTGTTCCCAGGAGGGTGGCAGGAAGAGCAGCCTCCCATATAAGTTTTAGTAGCAAATGCACTCTTTGGAAAACAAATAGGTGTTTCCAAAGCCCTTAACACTTTTATCCTCTTAAATCATTTAAATACTCCCCAGCCGTCTTGGTTACGCGATTAGTTCACTTAGCAAATCCTTTATTTGTGTGAGGTACAGAAGTGGCCACTGCAGCCAGACCTTGCTCACCGAGGCAGGAAGCCTGGCTGCTCTGCCCCCGGGCTGAGGCTGCAGCTGGGTTTCCTGTGCCTCTGCAGGGGCCAGCACTGATCAGTGGCCACGGAGCAAGCGTCCTCCTCGCTCTCGGCCTCGGCCATCCGCTGTGAACGGAGCTCCTGCACGTTTGTAAGGGGGAAGGGCAGTTGAGGAGCCAGGAACAACTCATTTTGCATTTTTCTAAGACTGATTTATTTGAAAGGCAGAGTTACGGAAAATGAGGGCGGGAACTCCATCTGAGTCTCCCACGTGGGTGCATGAGGCCAAGCACTTGGGCCATCCTCTGCTGCTTTCCCAGGTGCATTAGCAGGGAGCTGGACGGGAAGTGGAGCAGCCGGGACTGGAACCGCTGTCCTTATTGGATGCAGGCAGTGCAGGCAGGCCTCTCACTTTGCATTTTGAAGGCCCATCTCACTCCGAGGTCCAGAGCTAAGGGCAGTGCGCACCTTTGCATGGGCTCACACCAACCCCTGGCGCTGTGCGTGTGAGCTTGCTTTGTTCCTTGGCTTCTGCGTAGCTGCCTCTCTCTGTGTCTCTGTTCTCCATTCTTGGTCTGCTGCCTCTTCCACGTTGCTGTTACAGAGTAGCCTCTGTCTTGGCTTTTTAAAGTCTGGTAAATTAGGTCCTTTTACATTTCTCTCTCCTTTTCCAACAGGACAGCCCGAGTTGACTTTTAAATGTATGGGTGACCCCCTCACACTGATTTTTTCCTAGTTCTGGGACGGAGGGAGTTGGGGCCTTAATTAGAAAGAAAAAGCAAGTTGACCTGCCCTGGCTGGAGAGAGAGCAGCTGAGTCCATCTTCATAGCCTGGCTCCGGGGGCTGGTCCTGGCCGGGCATAAACAAGTGCTGGTTCGTTGACCTCCCCACTGGCGTCTCCAGGCCTGCCCAGGGGGCGAATGACCAGGAGCCTTCAGATGGAACCTCCTGGCTTTGTGAAGTTTGACAGCGCGGACGTTCTGCAATTGTGCTGGGCGTATGTGTGTTTCCCAGTTGTTCCAGTGGTCTGTTTAAAGGCATGAAGAACCAGACATTAAATATTTGTTTTAGTTGACAAGATAAATGCAGGCTGCGACTAGGATGAGATCTGGCAGTTCTGAAGTTGGAGGTTTGTTTGTTACTTCCAAGACAAGCCCATTGTGTGCCTTTGAATGGATGATACATTAATTAGATAAAAAGCATTTTATTATGAGGCTGATTATAATATTTACATTGGACATTTTCATTTAGAGATTCTAATCGGCAAAGGAAATTTAACGTCTAGATCTGCCCAGGAAGAGAAGCAGTTTACCTGGCAAGCCAGGGTACCTGTCACTGCCAGCCATCGCCAGCAGGGCTGGTGGGGATCAGGTCACGTTCTGATCAGAGCTGATCCCCAGGCTAAGGCATTTCTCTTTTCTTTTTCTTAAGTATTATTTATTTATTTATTTATTTGAAAGGCAGAGTAAGAGAGGGGGAGACCGAGAGGACTTCTATCTGCTGGTTCACTCCCCAAATAGCCACCATGGTCCAGACAGGGCCAGGCCGGAGCCAGGAGCTTCATCCTGGTCTCCCACCTGCATAGCAGGGGCTCAAGCACTTGGGCCATCTCCCACCACTTTCCCAGGTGCCTTAGCAGGAGTGCTAGGGAGGGAGCAGCAGAGATTCAAACTAACACTCCGATGCGGGATGCGGGCATCGCAAGCAGCCCCCAGGCTAACGCGCTGGACCCAGCAGGAAAGCTGGGGTATGGCCAGCACATCCGTCTCCTTGTTCTTGTCCCCTCTCTCCCTCACCTAGCATGCCACTGGGGGCCGGCCCCAGGGTCAGGATGCAGGGAACGTGTCCATTGTGAGTTCAGACCCCTCTGCACAGAGCCCAGTGAGGGGACAAATCCTGTGGCCACGAGGCTGGCGGCTGAATCGCGGGGAAATCTCCCCTGGGCTGAATCAGCTGATGCCTAAGCCTCTCAGCCCTGTTGAGCTGCCCCTTGTTTGACGAAGGCTTTGACCTGAGGCTCTCGCCCAGGCCGAGGACCCGCCTCCTTTGCCCACCTCCCAGCCACACTCCCTACCAGAGCAGAGGCCAGACGGGTCACACCTCAAGACGGCTCCCGCTGAGGCTTGCGTGCGCCCCAGACATTGCTCTGTTTCCCAGAGAGAGGCCCTTGGGGCCAGGTTCCTCCACAGAGCAGGAATGGGCAAGGCTGATCTGCTGCTTGGGTATTTAAGCCCCCATTGGAGGCAGTGGTCCCCGAGCACAGGGCCTGAGGACCTAGGATTCCTCGGTGACATTCTGCGTGCCTGCTAGGACTTCACGGGGAGACGTGGGTGAGGGCTCCGGGAGAAGTGCTTGGAGAAGAGGCTAGAAGAGTCCTAAGGCCTTGCTGCCCAGAATGCGTGTGCCCGCTGTGGGCACAGAGGGCGTGGGGCTGGCTGCAGAGGGGTCAGTGGTCAGTGGTGTGGCAGAGGAAGGCTGTGCTCTGCAGGGGAGGTGGGCAGGCAGAGTGCCCTCTTGATGCGGCTGGCACAAGGGAAAACTGACACTTCAGTAGGGGGAGGCAGGGTGGAAGTGTCGGGGGCCGTGTAGCCTGACACACGTACGCAAGGAGCCCACTTAGTGGGGCAGGAAGATGGGCAGCCCCACTCTGCTTTCTGCCTCTGCCTTCCTCTCCTCGCTGTTGCTCCCCGGATGCCACGTACTCGGGGCTGATGAGCGCCTGACGCCCCTGCTCACGGTGACGGGCCCGTGACGCAAGGCAGTGAACCACGATACTCGGCCGTGATGGGGGATGGCAGCCAAATCGGATGGTTCTTGAGCAGGGCGCCGTGTGTTTCAATGATGCCAGCACATGGCAGAGGTCCCCAGGGGGTTAAGCGGCTCCTAGTGCTCCCCACGTTTGCGTCGGAATGAAGGAAGGTACGCTGGGGACAGCCAGGCTCTGTCGTTTGACAACTGCAGATCAGAGTGTCGCGTTTCCGTGACAGTGAACTTACAGTGCTGCTTCTCTCACCTCCTGCCCTTGTTTCTTTCTTCGAAGTGGGGTGGCCGGGAGGCAGGCAGGTAGGAGCAGCCACGGGAGACACACCTGGTGTTCTTGAGGTACTGGCAGCCCCTGGGTGGGAGAAGCGTCCAGGGGAGTGAAGATTTAAGGCCAGGCCAGGCCACCCCTGCCCGGCTCCTGCTCCCACAGCTCCGACGCTGCGTCCCCACTTGGGCCCTCATCCCCCACCCTCTGCTAGCGTGAGCTTGGTCTCGTCAGGAAGAGGCCCGGTCATCATTCCTGCCGTGTCCCTGGACACTCGTGCAGACATGAGGCACCTGTCTGCCCTCCCTCGATCCCCAAGCCCACATCCGCAGAACTTGGGCTTCGGGAGTGGGTGAGCGGCGGCTCGTGGAGAGCCAGTGTTTGTGTGTAGCGGGCGTGGTGTGGAGGAGGAGGCCACAGAACCGGTGCTTCTCCTTCCTCCCAGTCCTGACTTGAGGAAGGGCGGGAACAGAGGGGTCCAGTGGGCCCACAGTTGCAGATGCGCACAGTGTTTTTCTGCTTGGATCCATGGCATGGCCAGGAAGTCTGGACTGCGTTCCTCTGAATGTGTGCGTTGGGTGGGTCCTCCAGGTTCACCCCCTCGACCCCCTGCCCGTGGGCTCTGCTGAGGTCTTTCTTCCCTTCATGCTGCTCTGGTTTTGTTTTCAGAATCACAGAACTGATTGGCTATCACCCCGAGGAGCTGCTGGGGCGCTCGGCCTACGAGTTCTACCACGCCCTGGACTCTGAGAGCATGACCAAAAGCCACCAGAACCGTGAGTTCCAGGCGTGCCCTGTGCAGCTTCCTGTGGCATCTGGCCTTTGCAGGGTGTCATTGGTGACGTGGAAGGCTGGGTCATCCCTTGAGGTGTGCAGGCCCCCGAGATTGGGTAGAGAACCAAGGCTGCCCGTGGGACACCTTCATGCAAACAGCAAACGAACCCCTCCTCCAGGGAGACACGACCCCAAGGCACGCTGCGCGGAGAGTGGAGGGGGAGCTGAATCCCACACCCCGTGCTCCGCCTCCACTGTGCACCCTGTGCACCTGGCAGTCTGCACAGCAGCTGCACACTGCCCTGTGGGGAGAAACACAGCACCGCACAGAGCCAGCCCAGGCCTGTGCTGCTGGTGCAGGTCCACCTGCCCGTGAGGAGGTGGGCTAGGGCAGTTCAGGAACAGGCACTTGTGTGAGGCCAGAGAGGGTGGGGTGAACCAAAGGGAAGGTAGCACAGGTGTCCAGCAGCTGTGGGTCTCCAAGAGAACTGCAGAAATTACTCCCTGGGCCTCATACCCAGTGTTGGCGTCGGGGGCGGACTTGGCTCTGTAGCAGGAAAGAAACCTGCGTTACGAAAGGCCTCCATGGCAGAGCTGTCCGGGAGACAGGCCACCCCCTAAGCTGGCTGCCAGCAGTGTTAGCTCTCTTAAGGGGAGAGTCCTTCTCTGATTGATTCCTCTGCTTCTCCTGGGTTTTACCAGATAGTACAGTAGGGCCTGTTAATTATATATCTAAGCTGTTCCACTCTGGCAAGACCTAACCTAGACTGAGCCGCATTCAGAGGCTCATGAATGGCGGGAGGGAGGTGCAGGGGCGTCCGTATGCCCATGAACGTGACCCAGCCCTAGCCTGCCCCAGTTCGGGGGTGGCAGGATCTGACTCCTGCCCTCCCTGGAGGTTCCCTGTGCCTTTGGAGCTCCTGCTGCAAGGACAGGTGGACAGAGCCGTGCAGGGCCTGGGACTCGGGGGCACCGGACCCACTGGCTTCCCAGGGCCTGACTCTGAGGGAAAAGTCCAACCCTCCTTCCCAGCCCGGGGCAAACCAAAGCAGGGGACCACTGTAGAAACGTGTCCGGGAATCCTTGGACGACAGAGTCGCACTGGATCCTCTGGGCTGGGAAACAGAAGCCGCTGCCATCAGGGAGCAAACTGGAGGACGTCTCACAGGCAGATAGGGTTTTCCTTCCCCTTAGGGCCCAGGTCCTTAAAGATGGCCCGGATAGAGAGTTCCCCATTTCCTGCTGACGTCCGGGAAAATGTGGTGCTTTTTACGCTATTTAAGCCTGGGCCACACTTCAGAGTAATTCCTAGCACAACCCCAGGCCTCGCCCCTGCCCCAGCTCAGTCCTGCACCAGCAAGGGAAAGCTGTGGGGTTGGAAGTCGGGTGAGCGTCAGTCATCTCGGATGGCCCTCTTGCTCCTTCCTCCTTGGGTTTCTGCAGACAAAGCTGCAGCCCCACCTTCTGCCGTCAGGGCCCAGGACGCTCGGGCATGTGGCTGGCCCAGGTGTACTTGTGTCTCACACACGAAGTGACGGGGACGCTCAGTCTTGGGCTGTGAAAAGCCATCATTTCCAAATGAATGAATAATTCGTACATTGTTGTGAGGGGGAGGGGCCAGTTTCTCTTTGTTGTGAGAGGACGTGATGTGCTCTTAGGTTTTTATGGCCTTTAATCTCATTTTCCTATCTACTGAGTAGCAGAGCCCTCACCGAGACTGGCATTAATGAGCAGATGATTAGGGAGCTGGTGTTAATTATATTCTCCTGACAGAGCAGGCCCTCACCTGCAATTGCTAGAAATACAGTTAAAACCTTGGCTTGCTGTGCTGTTTCATCAAAAAGAAGCAGGGTCCCAAGTTTGGTTTGCATCAAGAACCATCTAAATAAGTTAACAGCAGGCACTTGAACTTGTGCAAGGATCGTTCTACTGCAGCAGGGGCCCTCGATGGCATGGTCGAAGGGGGAGCAGCGGTGGCCCCGTCAGGGGGGCCGTGATAGCTGGGACAGCAGCCACTGAGAACTTAGTCTTCCCAGTGCAGGTGACAGAGCGAGCGCGCCGGGTACTGGTGGCCAGAAGCCCCGCTGTCTTGCCCAGACTCTGCCACTTGTGTCCCGTGTGATGCCAAGCCTGTCACAGCCCCTCGGGCCCTAGTCTCTTGGTCTTAAAAGAAGCTGCTGTGTGTCCTCACTGTGGCACAGGGCTTTGTTAGAAGGAGAAGACCAGGATGATACAGCCACTTTGGAAAATAAGTTGGCAGCTGCTTCTATGGGAAGCATAGTCAAACATGTATTGGATAAATGAAGAATTGGTCTCCTGGCTACACCCGATAAGTGGAAATGCATGTTCGCATGAATTGTAGACAGATGTTGGTGGCAGTGTTATTCACCATCATCAGACTGAACACGCACACACAGCAGCAGGGGATGTCAGACTAAGTGTGGAACATCCTTGTAATGAAATACTACTCAGCAAGGAAAATGAAGGAATGAGGAATACCTGCAACAGTGTGACAAGTCTCAGGCAAACCTTGACACCGAGTGTCAAGAAGCCAGATGCAAAAGAGCACATACCCTCATCTGACCCCACTTACGTGAACACCTGGAGAGGGTCATTTCAATAGAGAGTCCAAAAGCAGACCAGGGGTCACCTGGAATCAGGGGTGGCACTGGGAGCTGCCTGCCAGGAGGCACAGAGAATTTGAGGGAGTGATGGAAAAATTCTGTACCTTCAGTGTGGTGCCAGTTGCCCAAGCGTGTACATGTGTTCAAACTCAGTGAACTGTGTGCTTAAAACAGATACATTTTTATTGAGAACAACTGGCTTTGAGCAATAAACACATAGGGCTTAGCCCAGGGGTAATTTAGACTGTACCCCTAGCTGAGAGTCTCCACTGAGGGGTTTTCCAGCCAGCCGCTGGGTGGTTTCTGCAGATAGAACGTGGGAGTCGTCATGGAGCGCCTTGGTCTCGCGTATTAACTGAAGTCGTGAGAGCGCTTTAGTGCCAGGCACTGTTCTAATTGCTTTGCAGAAATGAGTTCATCTTAGGAGACAGTTTGGGACCCTGCAAAGCACTATATAAATCTAAGTGACGGTAATTCCTACACCTTGTAGGAGATTTTAAGTTTTTACTTTTGAAATTTTATGTTTGAGACATAAAAACCGTTCATATTTATGGGCACCATGTGATACATGAATACACTGTGTAATGTTCAAATCAGGGTAAAAGTATCTACTCCCTCAATCATTTTTTTTAGAAAAATACACAGTGCATTGGCATTATCTGTAGTTACCCCACCGTGCAGTAGAACACCTGAATTTCTTACTCCTAACTGTAATGGAGAACCCATTACTTAGCCCCTCCCCCTGCCCTCTCAGCTTCTTCTCACCCCCTTTCTGCTCTCGACTCCTACGAGAGCAGCACATGTGGACTCTGCTAAGGAGCGACATCCCAGAATCCCTTTCTTCCTGTGCCTGGCTTCTTCCACTTAACACCCTCCACTCCATGTTGTTGCGCAAGACAAGATTCCAACCTTTTCGTGGTTGAAGGGTACTCTATTGTGTATGTGTACCCCTTTTCTTTCTCCATTCCTCAGCTGATAGACACTTAGGTTGTCTGTAGTTCTTGGCTGCTAATTACATTTTCTGAAGGAGAGTCAAATGTGCCAAGTCAGTCTTCAGTGTAAAAAAGTACAAGCGGCAGTGCCGCGGCTCACTAGGCTAATCCTCCGCCTTGCGGCGCCGGCACACCAGGTTCTAGACCCGGTCGGGGCGCCAGATTCTGTCCTGGTTGCTCCTCTTCGAGTCCAGCTCTCTGCTATGGCCCAGGAGTGCAGTGGAGGATGGCCCAAGAGCTTGGGCCCTGCACCCCATGGGAGACCAGGAGAAGCACCTGGCTCCTGCCTTCGGATCAGTGTGGTGTGTTGGCCACAGCGCGCCGGCCGCGGCGGCCATTGGAGGGTGAACCAACGGCAAAGGAAGACCTTTCTCTCTGTCTCTCTCACTGTCCACTCTGCCTGTAAAAAAAAAAAAAAAAAAAAAAAAAAAAAAAAAAAAAAAGTACAAGCAGCGTTAGCACAGACCTAGCTGGACTCTCCAGCCGTGCAGGTCCAGAGGCTGGGGAGGAAGCCCATGAACCTGACAATGGAGGAGACTCTTGGTGTTGGCAGAGAACCTGGAAATTCTCCCCTGTGGCTCTCAGGATGTAACCTACACACATGTAACACACAGGGCCTGGGCACTTTGCAGAGGAGCTTCAGGAAATTCAGGGGAAATGGAATTCAGAGATGTTTATCTTGGTGCAAAAGATATCTGAGGGCCATGCATAGTGTTTACAATATAATAGGCATACCCATGAATGTTTAAAGACCCCTTCTACATGTCAGTAGCTTTGGGAAAGAGATGGCTTGTCCGCTGCAATCCTTGTCAGCGGTAGTCAGCCAGCGTTTGTGTATTTGATGGGCCAGGCAGGTGCACTTGGTCCTCAGCGCTGACAGCAGTGGTCTCTGGGTGGCTAACAGTGACCGTGATTACCACTCGCATTATCAGGAACCCATCTTGCAGAACAGGAAACCAAACCCACGAGGGGCCGTTCCTTTCCCACTCTGCCACCCCATCTCTCATGCTTCTTCCCAAGTCCCTGAAGTCTGGGGGCTTCTGAGCTGGAGTTCTAAAGAATGAGTTCCCAAGGAATCACGGCAAATGGGCAGTTCAGAGAACACCAGAGGTTCTACCGTTAATCCACTATTCAGGATGTATTGCTGCCTTTTTAATGAGAGCAGTTGGAGCATTCTAGACAGGTGAAGAGAGCAGACTGGGACATAGGACCCCTTCCCCAGTGTTCTCAGACAGGAAAAACAACATTAAATGAATGTTGAGATCAATCTGGAAGAGGGAAGAAGTCACTGGCAGGCAGCCCCGCTGGAAGAGGAGGGTGATGGGCTTACCTTGGAGCTGTGCACACTCCTGGGGCTCTGTCCTTTTTCCACCCCAGCAGTGTGGCCCGTATCAGACGTCACAAACCTTCTGTTGCCCCAAAGGTGGCAGGCCTGACAGCTGACCTGGAATAACTAAGGACATCATTTAAAACCCAAAACCAAAACCCCCTGCATTTATCCAGAAGCAGGGTGTGGGTGGTGCGGCTGCTGCCGAGGGCAACGCTGGGGTTGGGCTTTCTCCCAGCTGCTTTGACCCCTCCACCACCTGGAGTGGCCCTCAGCGAGGGGTTTCCACCCATTGAGCCCCATGCAGGAGGGAGGGAGGGAAGGACCTGCTTGTGTCTGTGCCCAGAGCAGAGCCAGTCTGGGAGCCTGGCCAGCCTCAACCAAGACATTCAGCCTCTCCCGGCCTCTCTTGCCTTTGTTTAAAGCAGAGGGCAGCCCGCCAGCTCACATTCCCAGGTCCCTGCTGTTCTGTGGCCAGTCCTCCCTGTCCCCCTACACACGGCCGCTCCACCCCACCCCATGAGGTCCCCTGAGCCCATGGTGCACGCTGACCTCATGCTCTGTGTCTTTCCCCAGTGTGCACCAAGGGCCAGGTGGTGAGTGGCCAGTACCGAATGCTCGCCAAGCACGGGGGCTACGTGTGGCTGGAGACACAGGGGACCGTCATCTACAACCCGCGCAACCTGCAGCCCCAGTGCATCATGTGTGTCAACTACGTCCTGAGGTGAGCAGGGGGGCCGGGGGCCCAGCTCCTCACCCTGAGGGAGGTGGCCCTGCCGGGGGCTCATGGCAGCATGAGTCCTCGCAACCAAGGGGGCTGCCTGGGACCTTCTACCCCTTTCCCCTTGTCTGTCATTCATGCCGGGGCTCTGACCCCGACGAGGGGCAGACGGCCCACAGCTGGCACTTAGTAACAAATGTTTTTGGAATGGGGAAAAAGGGAAGAGACCCGCTCCCGCTTTCGGGAACACAGATGTGCCACCCCGCTTCTTGGCGCCTGGGGAGAAGGCCTCACTAGGGCGGAACAAAGAACAGCTAAGGAAAAGGGTTTTGCTGGAAAAGCTGGGCGATCTGACTGGCGCTCTTGTCCCGCCAGCGAGATCGAGAAGAACGACGTGGTGTTCTCCATGGACCAGACCGAGTCCCTGTTCAAGCCGCACCTGATGACCATGAACAGCATCTTTGACAGCAGTGGCGAGGTGGCTGTGTCCGAGAAGAGTGACTTCCTGTTCACCAAGCTGAAGGAGGAGCCGGAGGAGCTGGCCCAGCTGGCCCCCACGGCTGGCGATGCCATCATCTCTCTGGATTTTGGTGGGTGCTTTTCAGCTGGCCCACGGAGGCATCTCAGCACGTGCTGGGGAAGTTCTCACCCCAGCTGCGGCGTCTCCTTAGCCAGACCTACCTGGGCCCCGCCCCAAGTCATGGCCATCACCCACTAGTAGGCAGGCTCTGCTGGGCACCAGAGTCCCCCGGGAGCCCCTGCCTGTAAGTCCACCCCAAGTTTGCATTCGTCAAATGCTAAACAAGGCCAGATTATGGGTCGCTGCCCTCCTAAAAGCGCTGAGGGTCTAAGCCTAGAGGGAGGGAAAGGCGGGGGACCTGCTCCAAGACACTGTCCCAGAAGGAGGGCGGACCCCCACCTGGGCCTTGAAGGGAAGATTGCCTGTTAGCCGGAGGGCCAAGCTGGAACAGCGTCAGGAGGGGTCATTCCAGAAACACGGGGGGAGAGCAGATCCAGGCCCAGGAGTAGGTGCTCAGATGCACGACTTCCTTAAAGCAGGCACCTGTTCTGCTGCAGTGCTGTGACCCCCTGCCGTTCTCAGCCCCCCACCCCCACCCGGGGAGCAACCCTGAACTGTGCTGGGGCAGCTCCCACCTGCAGCCTGCTGCCGCCATTCCCAGCCCTTGCAGGCATGTTCTTGAGACGCCTTGAAATCCTCGTTCCGTGGCAGAGCCAAGGCAAATGGCCCAAATGCCCCCTTGTAACTTCCTTGGGTTGTTCTTTGGGGAAGAGTGGCTCCTACTATGGTCACTGAAAATGCAAAAGGCATAGCCCGTCATCCCAGCTGAGCCCCAGGGTGCCGAGGGCCCAACCCCAGGCCAACTTCTCCCGCCCCTTTGTGCAACTCTTGGGTTTCCTCCCTGGCGGGAGAGGTGTGGATCGTTCACCAACCAGGCCCTTGTCTCTGCAGGGAGTCAGAGCTTCGAGGACTCTTCTGCCTACAGCAAGGCCATCCTGCCCCCGGGCCAGCCATGGGCTGCAGAGATGAGGACCCACGGCGCCCTGAGCGAGGCTGGGAGCCTGCCCGCCTTCACCGTGCCGCAGGTGGCCGCCCCGGGGAGCACCACCCCCAGCGCCAGCAGCAGCAGCAGCTGCTCCACAGTGAGTCCTCAGCCCCTCTGTCCCTCGAGTGTGGGTGGGCTCCTGCTTCCGGTTGCTGCAGATGGCTGAGGGCAGAGTCCAGTGAGAGCTGCTCGGAGTGGCAGTGACTTGGCCCCATTGAAGCTCGCTCCTTGGAGAGTCTTGAGCTAATGTGCTCAGCTCCTAAGTCACAGCCCCGGGGCACACGCTCGTCCGGTGGGGTGGGGGGGGCCTCGGGGAGCCGAGTGCCATGTCCTTGACTTGCTCCCCCAGCCCAGCAGCCCTGGAGACTACTACACCGCCCTGGAGGATGACCTGAAGATTGAAATGATCGAGAAGCTCTTTGCCATGGACACAGAGGCAAAGGACCAGTGCAGCGCCCAGGTGGGTGGCCCTGGAGCCCGAGGGGCAGCGTGGCAGGGGAGGATGCTTCACCGAGGCCCAGGAGGACACAGGACAGTGCAGCCAGTGGTCCCCTCTGCTTTTCCCACAGTGAATCCAGCACTTCCATTTCTGATTCTCAGCCTGTTTGTCTCCTACTTACTTGACTAGCTTTCTTGGAGCACATGAAAACCAAAATCCAGCACTGAAACCATCCTTGCAGGGAGCCCCACACTGAAAAAGCATATCCAGAGGTCCAGAGTGTTTCTAACCAGAAGAGGCCGCCCCTCCCTTCACCAACACCGTCACATCGTGGTTTAAGGAACCATTTGAAATGCATTTGAAGATGACAACTGATTGGCACACTTGCATACCACGTTTTAGGAACATGTCAATCACACAGCCCAATATTCTTGCAAAAACCATGGAAGTGGCTGAGGGGGCGGGGTGCATGTTTCGTAAAACCCCAGGGAAGCTCCTCAGCGTGGGTCTTTAGCCTACCTGGCACAAAGTCCAAGTATTGCTGCCCTTCTGCCTCCCCCTCTCTCCTATCTGGCTTATTACTCGGTACTTAAGCCTAGCCATCTGCTCTGCTGGGTCACCCACTTGTCATCATCGCCCACATGTGCCTGTGAGCAGTCCCAGCGACGCACATATGGCACCGGGAAGCTTAGAGGCCATGGCTGAGGTTCTGCTACCGCTGGGGCTTGGCCGTCTACACAAACCCTGGGCACGTGGCAGGGCCCATGCGGGCAATAGGGACACGCTGTCCAGGGCTTGCCAGGAGCCATGGTGTGCACCACAGGCCCAAGCGTTGCAGGAGGACAGGGGGCACTCTGTGAAGAGGAAGGGCTTGGGCAGGTGGAAGGGAGAGAGTAGGCATTGTGGAGTGGTCGGGGAGGCCACAGCAGCACGGAGACTCGAGGTACACAGCCGGAAGGCCTTGTGCCCCGGCGTCCCAGGCCTTTGCTGCTGGGCCCGCGGCAGCCCTGGAGGTGCTTGCGACGAGTGGCTCAGGCAGAGCGCCCAGCTCCACCTCTCAGCCTGCGCTCTGCCCCTCCTTAGACGGACTTCAACGAGCTGGACCTGGAGACGCTGGCGCCCTACATCCCGATGGACGGGGAGGACTTCGAGCTGAGCCCCATCTGCCCCGAGGAGCCCCTCGTGCCCGAGAGCCCGCAGCCCACCCCCCAGCAGTGCTTCAGCACCATGACCACCATCTTCCAGCCGCTGGGCCCCACGGCCGCGCCCAGCCCCTTCCTGCTAGAGAAGTATCCACCACCACTTGAGGGCAAGAAGACAGAGCCCGAGCACCACCCCATGTCCTCCATCTTCTTTGATGCTGGGAGCAAGACAGCCCTGTCTCCGTGCTGTGGCCAGGCTTGCACCCCCCTGTCTTCCATGGGAGGCAGGTCCAACACCCAGTGGCCCCCGGATCCACCATTACATCTCGGGCCCACAGACTGGCCTGCTGGGAACCAGCACACGGAACCCTTGGGGGCATCGCCTTTGGGACCCCCAGTTGCCGTGCCCAACGTCTCCATGTTCAAGACGAGGTCAGTGGTTGGTGAGGGGTGAGGGGTTGGGACTCAGCTATATCAGCAGGAGCCAGGCAGGCACCCCCCTGAACTCTGGGAGGATAAACAGCACCCTGTGCTCCATTAGCTGCCCCTTCCACAGCTGGAGAGGAGTAGCTGGGCGGGGGGGGATGGGGCTTGAACCCTGGTATCTCTCTTAGGACCACCCGGGGGGTGCATCCCCTGAACCAGAGAACATGGGAAGTTGTGGGAGTGACAGCTTTCTTAGTTCTCTCCTGCAGACCGTGGTTGAGGAAAGCAATGCCTTCCCCTCCCTTCATGCCCTTCAGGGTTCCCCAACAAGCTCGCTTCAAGGAGTTGAGAGCCCACTGGGTGCAGTCTCAGTGGTTGGGAGGTGTGGTGCCCAGGTCTGTCTTGGACTTTGGAGTACTCCACTGGGCAGGAGAGGCAGAAGCAGAACAAGCCCTCATACAGACCTGCGTCCCCTAGCGGGACAGCCTGGCCATGACTGGCTTGGCAGGTGGTGCATGGTGGTGCATGGGGCTTGAACCATCCAGCCTCTCCCCGAGTCCAGAAAGCAGAGGAAGGCAGGGGGAGCTAGGGCTCGGCCCTCCTCTGCAAGTCTTTGCGGAGGCACCGAGAAGCCGGGGCTGCACCGCCTCACCCTGTACCGTCTCTGCCTGGCAGGTCTGCCAAGGGCTTCAGGCCCCAGGCCCCAGACGCAATGAGCCCGGCCGTGGTGGCCCTGTCCAGCAAGCTGAAGCTGAAGCGCCAGCTGGAATACGAGAAGCAAGCCTTCCAGGATGTGAGTGGGGTAGGGGAGGTGCATGGGCTGGCCAGGGCTGCGGGGGGACTGGGGTGTGGCCCTCAACCCCACCCTCTGCCCTGTGCATGCCCAGGGGGACCCGCCTGGCAGCAACGCTTCCCACTTGTGGAAACGGATGAAGAGCCTCCAGGGAGGGGGCTGCCCTCTGACGCCGGACAGGGGACTGGACGCTAACGGCCCCTCGGGTGAGCATGCTGGGGCCCCAGGGGGAGGGCTACCCCCCCCCCCACCTCCCGGAGCCTTGGAATGGGGTAGACATCAGGAATCTCTGAGCACCTTCCGGGCAGGAAAGCGGGTGCTGGAGGCGTCCCAGCCTCTGCCCTCATGCTCGGCTTTGGCCTCGGGTCTTTCAGATGAGTTCATGCAAACCCCCGCCAGGGGCCTGGGGCAGCCCCTGAGACACCTGCCGCCACCACCATCCACCCTGAGCCCAGGGGACAACTGCAGCAGCGGACTCATCCCGCAGTGTTTCGCCCCCCAGTACCAGGACTACAACCTGCCTTTGGCTCACAAGATGTCAGGTGGGTGCTCAGGAATAGGCGCCCCATCCCAGGGTCTGAGGCGCGGGGAGGATGTGCGGGGCAGAGACCTGGAGCCTGGCTGCACCTCACCTCCACCCCGCCAAGGCGGGAGTCCCACGTTTGGAAGAGCATGAGAGGTTTGATACTTGCTTTCCTGGAGGGCAGCTCTCCCCAGGACAAGCCCCCTCTGCTTCCTTCCAGAACCTGCATGGTGCCAAGCACAAGCAGTCACTTGGCCACGCCTTGCCCAGGGAGCCTCCTTGCGGGGTCTGGCCCCCCCTTTCCACGGCTGCTTCTGTCACATCAGCCCTGCGGAGGGTCGGTACAGGGCGATCTAAGACTCAGAGAACCTAAAGGGAAAACTACAGACGAGGTCACCCCTAGAATCACGCTGTCCTGCAAACTGAAGCCCATAGGCTGCCAGACACAAGGGCGTGGCCAGGACAGAGGGGCACGGAGGAGTGGCAGCTCCTGGTCCCTTACGAGGCCACCCTGCGGGGTCTTTCACCTGACTGTACCGCCTCAAGCTGCCCACTAGCATAGAGGGAGCAGCACTCCCTGCCTCCTCCTCTTCCGCACCTCAGCCCCACGGGCCCCCTGCCAATTAAACCCTGTTCCAGGGCTTTCCCGCAGGCCCCCCTGGCAATAGCGCACACCCACCCCTCTTGCAGGCCTGGCAAGCCAGCTGCTCGGGCCCTCGTTTGAGCCCTACCTGCTGCCCGAACTGACCAGATATGACTGTGAGGTGAACGTTCCTGTGCCGGGAAGCTCCACGCTCCTGCAGGGCGGAGACCTGCTCAGGGCCCTGGACCAGGCCACCTGAGCCAGGGCCTCCTGCGGGGCCGGGGCCCAGCCCCGCCGACGCCGTCCCGCAGCGTCCCTCTCTACGGCTGTTTTTGCAACTAGGTATTTCTAACACCAGCACACCTTTTACGAGATGTACTTACCTGGCAGCTTTGCCCAGGTCACCACGCAGTGGCCTTCGAGACGCCCACTCTGCCATCCATCCTTTTTAAAAACACCATCGTGTTCACCTGCTCTGTTTTGCTGTCAAGGAAAACGTTCAGTTTTGTAAGATTTTTGCCTCCCTCCCTCCCCCCACCCCCTGACTTCTAATTTATATTCTCCGTAGCTGTCTGTCTCCCCCCCCCACCCCCACCCCGTCTCTACACTAACAGGTTCAGTGGCGGCTCGCGGTCCTCCAGGGACGGCGGCGGCTTCATTGGACTCAAAAGGTTTTCTGTTGTTGTTGCCAAAGAGACACAAATGATTTTGCTTTCTGCGCTTCCTCCACGCCCCCCACCCCCACCCCGAGCCCTCCTGTTTTCTTTTTCAAAACTAATCACTTTATGGGTAAAGTTCAGTCTTTCTGAAGCCAACCCCCTGCTGCGACTTGGAAAAACCAATGTGAAGGGTGAACTCGGACGCGTGGTTTCCTGCGAAAGTTACCCGGCGCGGCTCCTCCTGACCTCTGCGGTGTTTCCCCTCCATTCTGGCAGATTTTTTAATATTATTATTCAAAAAGCATAACTGAGGTTCTTTAAAAAAATTTATATCTGGGTGAAGTGTTTCTTATCATATATATGGGTACTTTGTGATATCTTAAAAACTTACAAACGGAACCCGGTTCATACAATCACCGTAAGACCTTTTGTAAGCTGTTTTCTCTTTCTCGGTGTTGCCAACACGGCAGGACTGTACGGTAGTGCCACAGGCCTGTACTAACCCTGCTAAAGCTCTCCCCCTGCCTCTCTCTCCCGTTGGCTTTGTGCTCTGCAACAGGCCACAGGGGTTGCGAACCACGTTCGTGGGGTGTTGGCCACCATCTCCCCTCCCTGTGTGTGTGTGCTGATCGCGCCCGCCAGGGTCTGACGGCACGTGCTGGGAGAACACTGACGGAGGGGGCGCTGTCACTCCTGAGGTTTTGTGGCTGGCCCTTCAAGTGCACTGAGCTACGTCACTTCCAAAGGCCTTGCATGCAGCACACTAGGATAGTTGCAGAAGTACTATGAAATGGTTTAGATGGGTACTCCCGTGAGTCAGGATTCAGAAATGGTGTAGTGACCTGGTGCACATCCTCCTGGCTCAGGGTCTTGGAGCTAGACTGAGAGGGCACCAAAGGGAGGGCAGTGGGTCCTGACCAGCCCCAGCTGGGTACCCCTCCAGCCTGCTGCAGGCAGGCGGCCTTGCAAGGCCTAGGTGCAACACCCCACTGCTGGCAAGCAGTAGGCAGAGCTCCAGGGCCAGCCCAAAGCCTCAGGCCCTTGCTGGGGTCTCCTTGTCACAGGAAGTGACGCGTATAGGTAGGAAGCACTGTGTATCTCACTGGGGAAGAAGAACAGCACCTTTTGGTTTTCAATGCCATCTCCATGGAACTCCTCTGTCGTGGGTACAATGAAGTTGCTAAAAAAGAAAAAAAATGCACACAAAGCCCATCAGACCAAGAATCTGGTAAGCCCAGACAGACTAACTGCCAATCACAGAAAGTTACTTACAAAAGAAACCTAAGTTCGATGAGGAACAGGCGCACGGCGGCAGAACTTGAAGGGTTCCTGAGAGGTCAGCGCTGGTATTTGATTTCCTGTGTGTGTTGCCTCAGCATTAAGGGCATTCTACCCTCGCAGTTGTACTAAGACACTCTGAAAAGTATCCCAAGCTTTGTATTAACCTTATCTGTCAATGTAATGATTTCATGAACATTATTATATTGTCAAATTCCTACTGACAACATTATAACTGTATGGGAGCTTAACTTTATAAAGAAATGTATTTTGACACTGATATCGTATTAAAGTATTCTGATCCTACACTGCTGGTGCCTCTTCCTTCCTGTGCATTTGTCATGGACTATGCAGTGGAAAGCAGTCTTGATTAAATAGTTTACACAAAGTGAACCTTACCACCCATCTTGCCCAGATGGTTGAAGCCAGCTGGCAGGCAGACTGGGGAAGGAAGGAACGACTAGAAGGACTGTCTGGTAACAGCCTAAAGCCTGCAGGTATTTCTCTGTCTGCCCCAGGGCCCTTTCTCATATCCCACGGGGAGCCCCAGGACAAAGAGATCCTGGGGTCTGCCTTCAGGAAGGATGTGGAGCAGCTTGCGAGAGCCTGTTGCTGGTCTGCGCATGTCCACTCTGCACCTTCGGGGGGAGGCCCCAACAGGAAGAGGCAGCCGGGCTCTGGCTGTCAGAAGGGATTTCCATTCTCTTGGTGGCTGGGCTCAAGCAGGGCCTTCCCAGGGAGCACATGGACAGGAAAAGCAGCCGTATCGGCCCGATACAGGTGGTGAAAGCCCAGAACTGGACACAGGCCTGGAGAGGCCTCTAATTCCCAGTTTGCTTTCCTAAACTGCATGTGCATCGGACCAGGCCGCTGCCATCGCAGTGTAATGTGCAGGGTGCGGGGTGGGAGAGACCCGGCCACCTACCTTTGCCCACCATCTTGGAGTAAAAACTCCCCCTGTGCTTTTCTGAAGCTGTTCTGTGAGTGACATCTCAGCTTGTCCTTCAGAACACTGGCAAGTTCAAGTCTTAGGCCTGGAAGGGGGGGGGCTACCGCAGGACCCCATCAACCTGGGTGGACTTGCATGGTCCACATTGCTATCCCCAGGCAAAACCCTTAGGCTGACCTTAACCATCCGAAGGCGAGGGGTAGGCAGGAGCTCCCAGCTCCTCTGGCTTCCACATCCAGTGGGCCAGCAAAGGGGAGCACACAAAGCGTGTTCAGGGAGCTCAGCTTCCCCAGAGCACCCAAGCGTGAGGCCTGAGGCCCAGGCAAGCCATCACCGCCCCATGTTTCATCTCTAGCGGTGAGGATCCTGGGTGAAATTGCACTGGTTTCCTGTTTAATGTCCACACCACAGGTGGCTTCAGAGTAGGCCAGCCCCATATGGCCAGGTCTGTAGGGGCAGAGAGCTGCCACTTGCTCAACCACTGGGATTCCACCTGACTCAAACTCTGCTCTCCTTTAGTTGGCAAACCCTGGCTGGGGCTGACACCTTCTCAGCATTGGCCTTGGTTGGCGGCCAGGAGGCCGTACCTGCTGGAAAAGGACCAGCGCTGCCTCGTCAGAACCGAGCAGGGCAGAAGTGAGCCTCACACAGCATGGTCTCTGCTGCACGTGCCACCTGGGGAGGAGAAAAGCTGGTTTTCCTGGAGTCACGACACAGACCCACCCCCTTTACGACACAGATTCACTTGCTTTACGACATGCAAGACTCAACCACCCAGTCTTCTTCCTTCCGACCCCTCCCTACCCTCTGCTTTGTGGGAAAACAGGACTTCTGCTGGGCGCCCGTGCATGCGTGGTCAGATCACGGTGGTACTTGCACCCAAGGCAGGGAGGTCCAGGGTCAGGGAGACATGACCTCAGGCCAACTCCTGGTGCCAAAAGGGGGCCTAGAAACGCCAGAGCCAACCCCATCGCTTATTCTTTCAACCTAAAGCCCACGGAAATGGTGGCTTGGCTGTGGCCACACAGTGAGTGACAGGGCTGGGGCAGAGCCCACGGGGGTGACATGGGGCCGGGGCGGGCCTCACCTAAGTGAGGTCAGCTCTTAGTTGCAGTTGTTCAGCGTTCAGGCCTCCTTCCCTGCAGCTGCCTCCCGCTTGTCTTTGTGCCGTCCCTCAGGGCACTTTCGGTTCTTCTAGAAGGGTTAGGATTGCAGCATCAGCCCGTTTCTTTAAAATACTCCTCTGAACTCAGCGACCCCTGTGGGAACAGCATGGCCTCTCGGCGACCTCCGATGTCTCACTCGGGTCCTTCACTCCCACGCTGAGTCCTCCCAGGACTCCGGAGAAAAGGGTTTGATGTCTACACGCCACCTGCTACATACACAATGCCAAATACAGTGACGTCTTGATCCTCTCCATAAACACTGCAAACTGGTCCAGCAAGCACTGGGCAGCCTGGTGCACACGATGGAGGCCCCCAGCCCACCTTTCCCCCCAGGCCCAGCCTTGGAGACTGCTTCAGTGCCGCAGGGGTGCAGTTGTACTTGGCGAAGGGCCCCCATCGTGAGTTCAGAGAGCCCAGGAATGGTAAATCAGGGTGGGAAAGATTTTTTTCTACCCTGAGGCCATTTGGATTTTTATATCATTTGTGGGCCATACAAAATTATCAACTTAAAAATTAGCCTGGGGACAGGCATTGTGCCACAGCAGGTTAAGCCACTGCCTGCCACACGGGCATCCCATCTGGGTGCTGGTTCGAGTCCCAGCTGCTCCAGTTCCAATCCAGCTCTTTGGTAATGCTCCTGGGAAAGCAGCAGACGATGGTCCAAGTCCTTGTGCCCCTGCACCCACGTGGGAGACCCAAATGGAGTTCCAGGCTCATGGCTTTGGCCTAGCTCAACCGTTGCAGCCATTTGGGGAGTGAACCAGTAGATGGAAGTACTCTCTCTCCTACTCTCTCTCCTCCCACAACTTTCCCTTTCAAATAAACTTTTTTTTTTTTTTGACAGAGTGGACAGTGAGAGAGAGAGACAGAGAGAAAGGTCTTCCTTTGCCGTTGGTTCACCCTCCAATGGCCGCCGCGGCCGGCGCGCTGCGGCCGGCGTACCGCGCTGATCCGATGGCAGGAGCCAGGTACTTATCCTGGTCCCCATGGGGTGCAGGGCCCAAGTACTTGGGCCATCCTCCACTGCACTCCCTGGCCACAGCAGAGAGTTGGCCTGGAAGAGGGGCAACCGGGACAGAATCCAGCACCCCGACCGGGACTAGAACCTGGTGTGCCTGCGCCGCAAGGCGGAGGATTAGCCTAGTGAGCCGCGGCGCCGGCCCTCAAATAAACTTTTAAACATTTTTTTAAATGAGCCTGCTATAGATACATTGAATTCTGAGTCCCAACTGTGATTGCTTTGGCAGGGCCAAACCAAATGATTCTGCAAGCTTCTATGGCCTGTGGGTGGGATGTTCCCCACCCCAGGCTGTGGATGCAGAGGAGTACTTGGTTGTCTCAGGGTGGACCCCAATCCCTGTGGGAGTTTAGAGGAAGCCAGAAGTCAGCACAGGCCTCAGGAGTGGAGCAGCTCCCCGCCAGGGCTGGGCTGGAAGAGGATCAGAGGGGAGAAGAGAGATGAAAGGCATGGAGTCAGAGTGGGCAGCCCATGCAGGAGACCCTAGGAGCAAGCAGGATTGGGGCTGAGATGGAGGGGGAGGCACACCGGGCAGCCGGGCCATCAGTCAGACAGACCTGTGTTCAGATCCCAGCTGAACAACCTCACACAAGCCCCTCAGTGCCAGACAACCCGGGTCTGCTCTTCCGTATAATGGGCACATCATAGCCCCTGCCCCAGAGGGTACCGGCTGGAGATGCAAACGTGAGACGCACCAGTAGGCACCTGAAACCTGTGAGATGAGAGTGAGGATGGGGCAGAATGGAGGGCCCGAGATAGAGCCCTGGGCCACTCGGGTACCCAGGGGCAGTCAGTGGAGGAGCCAGCAACAGAGGTAGGAGGAACCCTTGGTGTGGAGTCCCACAAACCAAAAGAAGAGGAGCCTTCAGGAACGGGGGAACAGTTAGCTGGGTCACATACGGCACTCAGCAGTAAGACGGGAGCAAAGCAACATGGAGGTCATCCTTGACCCTAACAAGAGCCACTTTGCTGGGAATTAAGGGCAGTGTTGCTGTGGATTCGTTCTGAGAGGAGGAGCGCAGTGGGGGCAAGAGGTGTAGAGTCACCACACAGATACCAGGAGTTGGGTGAAAGCGGGCCAGAGGCAAGCAGCCCACAGACTCGTTTATTTCAGTTGGTATAGCAGCTTATATAGCCAATGTAGCCAATCCAGTCAAGGGGCAGTTTATGCCCTAACCAATCACAGCCTGTTGCCAGGCAGGCTCCATTGCCAGGTAGGTTTCGAAGCCATTCCTGAGTAACTGATGCTCGCTTGCCAGTGGCCATCTTGGCATGGCCTTCTCATTCCACCACAGGGCAATAGCTTGCCTGGAAAGTATCCCAGAGTGCACTGGCTGTGTGAGGCCACAGCGACACAGCAATGCACGGCTCCTTCAGGAAGTCTGCCTGGGAAGGGCAGCAGGGATGGGGCACGGAGCTGGAGGAAGACAGGGCTCAGGAGAGTGTGAGTGTGAGTGTGCGTGCATGTGAATACTTAACACATGTTTAGGACAGATGTAGATTTACAGAAAAGCTGCAAGAATTTCATAGCTAATACTTCTATGGCAGGTGTGCCACAAATGGTGAATGAAAGCGGTTACATTATCATCGAAAGACTTTCTTCAAACTTCTCTAGTTTTTACCTAATGTCTCTGATGGTTTTCTCTGTCCCAGGACCCAATCCAGGCCACTAGATTACATTTGGTTGTCACGTCTCCTTAGGCTTCTCAGGCTTTCTGTTTTGGATGAACTTGACAGTTCTGAGAAGTGCTGCTTAGGTAGGAAAGGCTCTTCAAAAGAAAGTTGGAGAAAATCCATATTATGGAAAAACTATGCAAGTATTTCAATTTTTTTGCACAGAAATAAATGTATCTTTAAATTCCATTTTTTTCCATGAACTTTCAGAAGTAGCCTCATATTTTGTGAAACATCCTTCAGTTTGGGTTTTTCTGATGGTGTTCTGGTTTCAGAGGGGTCACGGGCTTGCGGGGAGAGGAAGCCCACAGAGGCCCCATGCATTCTCACAGCATCCTATCAAGGCCACACACAATCACCGGCCCGGTTGATGCTAACCTTGGTCATTGGGCTGAGGGAATCTAGGTCCAGTTTGTGCTCTGTGTTTTCGGGACTGTGATTTTCGAAGATGAGCTGTAGGAGTACGCGGGGATGTTTCCCTGGCAGTGGCGGAGGGAGA